AATAAGGTACAGATTTCGAGGAAAAGAAAAGAAAGGACAAAAAGAAAGAAAAATAACAGAAAAAATGGTGCGCAAGAAACTAGTAGATAAAAGCATAAGTTACTAAGCAGAACACAGAAGAAAGTAAAATAATAGAAAGAGAATAAGAAAAGTAAAGAAAAAAAAAGACAACACTGAACTCAGATGTTCAGGTACACGTGCCTCCCAACTCTCATTGCCCTATACTATATTCTCCTACCATTCTCAGTGTACAGCACCAAGACACAGTTGCTCATTAGCCTTAGGGTACAAAGTCGCATCAAGCACGCACTCGTCGTTACTGTCCCTTAGTATACGCACTACGCGCGAGCATATTGTTCGTGAGTGATTGATCAGATACCAGTGATGTCGGCACGCGATTTGCCCCGCAGACGCAGCAGGAGGCAGCAGGGAGAGGGGCCCGAAGTTGTGGGCTTGCCCACCCCCCCATCGCGAAGGCATCTAGGCAGACCTGACCTGGTGGCCATGTTTCACCGCTTCAATAATCAATTTTTCCACGGGACCTGCGGGCGCACTTTCACCGTCTCGTGGCAGAATTCCATGGTTTCCTCATCCGGCCTGACAGATCTTTACGAGCGCACAATACCTCTGAGCTGGCCAATTCTAAGCCGACTCCCACCCACGGAAACTGAGGACACCCTCCTGCACGAGATGGTGCATGTGTGCCTCTTCATGCAGGGGTACATCGATGATTCCCTGGAGCACGTGCTGTGCGATGACTCTCTTAAGGGGCCATGTTGTGTGCACGTGTCATAACTAGCTCGCACTAAAAATTGTGCTAAAGTGTGGCCTGGAAGCTCGGATGAAGGAAACGTTGTGACGAAAGGCTTGATCAACGCCTGGAATCTGCTTTATGCAAAGGAAACCTTAGCTCCATACAGAATTAGTGACACAATAGAGGTATTTTGGTGTCCTAACCTCCAAACGGCGGACACTGGTATTTACGTTCTCTCTCTGTTTACTCTTCGCCTTGTCGTGAGTCACAAGCTGCCCAGCCGGAAACATCGTGGATTGGAAAAGGGAAAAATCCGGGAAAAACAACAAATACCACCCTCTGGCATGAGGGATCCAAGAGTGTAGACGGAAACTTTGGAGGGCTATAACATCGTAAGGAGGCCTTTCTCGAGGAAGTCGTTCGGGAGTAATCGATCCGGAAGGGCCCCGACTACCCCCCTGGGACGGAAGTGGGTTCGCTTACCACCGGTCGGTAAAGTAGGGTACTGCACATCTTCAGTAAAGTTGTCCGGGACGGTGAGCCCGATTTGGAATTAAGACAGGATTAGTCCCCCAATAACGCCATGGACCCTAGGTTATCCAAATCGCCAGCGAAGAGAAGGAGTCAATCCGTTACCATGTCGCCGGCCGCACCTGTGGCAGCAGCTGATGTCACCGAAAGGCTGCCGATCCCTAGAATCAAAGTTGACAGCCTTCAAAAATTTGTAGTTGATAAACTGGGACATATGTATACGATAACGAACATGGTGATCCCTAAGATCAACAAGCAGGATGCTCTCATACACGAGAAGGCGTGCAGGGAGGTGAGCGAGGCGATCATGGCCATGAGCGAGACAATTATGGACCTCTA